TTGTCTTTGAGCTCTGAATTTCTTTCTTCTACTTGTTCAATTCTATTGCTGAGACTTTCCAGAGCATTTCACATTTCTAAAAGTGTGCCCAAAGTCTCCTGAATTTTTTATGTTTTTTTTCTTTAAGCTACCTATTTCCTCGAATATTTCTTCCTTCACTTCTTGTATCATTTTTTGGATTTCCTGCTTCACCTTTCTCTGGTGCCTCCCTGATTACCTTAATAACTAACCTTCTGAATTCTTTTTCAGGTAAATCAGGGATTTCTTCTTGATTTGAATCCATTGCTGGTGAACTAGCAGGATTTTTGGGGGGTGTTAAAGGGCCCTGTTTTGTCATATTACCAGGGTTGGTTTTCTGGTTCCTTCTCATTTGGGTAGGCTCTGTCAGAAGGGAAGGTTTAGGGCTGAAGGCTGTTGTTCAGATTCTTTTTGTCCCATGGGGTATTCCCTTGTTGTAGTACTCTCCCCCCTTTCCTATGGGTGTGGCTTCCTGTGAGCCAAACTGCTGTGATTGTTGTCTCTCTTCTGGGTCTAGCCACCCAGTGAATCTACCCGACTCCAGGCTGGTACTGGGGATTGTCTGCACAGAGTCCTGTGATGTGAACTGTCTATGGGTCTATCAGCCATGGATACCAGCACCTGTTCCAGTGGAGGTGGTGGGCGGGGCGGGGGGGGGTTCGGTGCAATGAGTTCTATGAAAGTTCTTAGCTTTGGTAGTTTAATGCTCTATTTTTGTGCTGGTTGGCCTCCTGCTGGGAGGTGGCACTTTCCAGAGAGCATCAGCTGTCATAGTATGGAGAGGAAATGGTGCTGGGCGGGGCCCTAGAACTCCCAAGATTACATGTCCCTTTGTCTTCAGCTACCACGGTGGGTAGGGAAGGACCATCAGGTGGGGGCAGGGCTAGGCATATCTGAGCCCAGACTCTCCTTGGACGGGTCTTGCTGTGGCTGCTGTGGTGGATGGGGGTGAGATTCCCATGTCACTGGAGTTGTGTACGTAGGAGGATTATAGCTGCCTCTGCTGAGTCATGCAGGTTGTCAGGGAAGTGGAGGAAAGCTGGCAACCACAGGCCTCACCAAGGTCCCATACAAACTGAAGGGCCAGTCTCACTCCCACCATGCACCCGGCAACAGTCCTGAGTCTGCTTCCAGGCGGTGAGTGAGACGGGCTTGAAAACATGCCCCAGGCTACCCACCTCCCAGCTGCAAAATAAAAGGGATTGATTCTTCTCCCGCCTGTGGAGTCTGCACACTGGATTTGCGCCCTCCCCTGATTTCTGGCCAAGAGGCTTCTTGCCCCATTCAAATTGTTATGAAGTTCAGCTGGAGATTTCTTTCTCTCTGGAGTTTTACCCCATGCTCCTCTGGCCACCCTCCCAGTGGATCCCTGTGATGCCAGGTAGGAATGGGCTGTCTGGGGATCCAGCGAGCTCCCTAGGGCCTTTCTGCTGCTTCCTCTACCCCTGTATTTTGCTTGGCTCCCTAAATTGACTCAGCTCCAGGTAAGGTAGGAAACTTCTCCCACAAACAGACCTTCAGTTTCTCCAGTGGGTATGTGTGTTCAGGAGAAGAGGGTCTCCCTTTCCCACTTTTGTAGTTGGGGCACTCAGTATTTGGGGTGTCTCCTGGGTCCTGCAGGAGCAGTCTGCTTCCTTCAGAGGGTATGTGGGTCCTCTTGAGATTGCTGGTTTGTTCTTCCAGTCAATCTGAATCTTAAATTTGCAAGCCACCGCACGCTGCTCTGTCTGGAGCTGCAATCTAGTCCTGCCTCCCATCCACCATGATAATCCCTCCCTCACTGGCTTCTTTTTAGTAACATGTCATGGTGCTGATCATGCATCAAATGGCACCAGCACCTGTTTTCTTCCTGTCTGTGTTCCTCATATATACACTTTTATTATTAAGTAGATGTAAGAATCCATTTAAAATAGATTTAGCTTTGGGGAGAAATTCTGTGTTGATTCCACCCACACAAAGGTGCATGTACCCACACAGTTCCTTCTAGAAATGCAAAAACAATATAGCAATGACACTAATGATCAAGATATTTTATAAAGGAAATCACCCAAATCCCATCACCAGAACACAGCTCTTTTTATTTACGCATTTACTATGAGTTTTTGTAAGTTGCAAGATCACAGTGTAAATACAATGGAGCCTCTTCCTTTTCAAAACCTGTTGCATGTATTCCTCAGACCGCTGCAGGTTTCAGAATGAGCATATTAAATGTTCTCATAATATGCCATGAAATGGATATGCCATAATTTAATTTGCCACCCATTATTGTTGGGCAATTCATTTGTTCCCAGTGTTATATTACTACAGCCAATCTCATAACAAACATCTTCATGCATGTATCTTCTCAATTCTGTTGAACTGCTTCCTAAGGAATAAAATCTCAGGAAGAAGAATTATTGAGTTAAAGGTCAGGAACAGTCCTAGGACTCTTGCTTCAGTTGACTGGGTTGCCTTCCACAAGTGTGGGTCCCTTTCTAAAATGTGCATACCCTCGACACTAGCCAGCTTTCCCCTTTAGCCACCCAAACCTGTCCCACTCACTCTTGGTGTCTTAGTTACTGCCTGTTGTGTGGGGATCAACTTCTATTTGCTCTCTGGGTGCTCTGCACCATGGTTTCAAAACAATGTAAACCTGTTTTGGGAAACACACTCAGCCGATGTGGAATAGCCTCTCAGCTCCAACAGCTGAGAGTCCACAGTAATTATCTTTGGGAGATGCCAGGCTTGGCAAGTAAGGAGCAGATGCGTTTGTTTCTCAAAGCCCACATTGCAGAGAACTTTCCCCCACACCCTTAACAAGTGAACCACAGTGCTCTGACGCAAGCAGCCTTATGCTGACTACCAGCTCCCCTCAACACCCACTATGTGGCAGGCCCTACTACAAATCAGATATGGCTCTTGCCCTCAAAGAGCCCACAAACTCTGGTAAAGACAAACAAACAAACAACTAACAGAGATGCAATGTGGTGTCATGAGCAAGTGCGTTGCAACTAGTCTGACCTGGATTGGGACTTCAATCTTGCCATCTTCTTGCTGTGTGGACTTCAGCAAGTGTGTGTGTGCGTGTATGGTCTTGGTTTCATTCTCTACAATTAGGAATAATGGAATAATATTAATACCAGCTTCCCTCCAGTTGAACCCTGGTATTCTTGCCTGGGGGATCAGAAAATGCTTTTCTGTCCCCCACCCCCACCCCCACCCCAGGGAGAATGTGCTGAAAGGCTCCAAAGGTCATGGGGATTGGGTCTCTCTCACCAGTCCCAGGACAGGAAGGCCTATTGGTTTACTGCAGTGAGCAGCCCTGAAGTGGCTGGAGAGTACAGAACCTCAGTGACTTGGGGCTGCCTGCAAAACCATTCGCAAAAGTTCCACTGTCTCTGCCTACATTATTTCTACCAGGAGGGGAAAGTAACGTGGCTCAGCTGACTATTCTTTCCCAAGTGCTAAACTGGCTTCCCTGATTAGAAAAACACAGCCTTAGGCTGATGGCCTTGCCAGCAATCAGTGCTAATGCAAGACCCAGCTGAGGAATACAGCAGACTAGGCTCCATGCCCAGTGCCACGAAGACTTCTGCCTTGTCCAGGACATGGTCCAGAGATAGAAAATGCTGATTTTCTAGCAGAGCTACTAAGAGTCAACATTTACAAGTGCCAGCAATGGCTTTCGTGCAACGAAAGGCACAAGAGTGGGGCAGCTCTCTTCTTGTCACACCCCAGAGTCCCTGGATAAACTTTCCCAGAGGAACTGTCAAATGACAATGGCCATGAATGGACATGTCCAGCAGTACAGACAGCCACATAAGTCAAAGAAGTACCCATCACTACTGTAGTTAGCACACTCTGCCCATCAAGAGTTGTACTCTTTCTGGGAACAATTTGCTGTCTTACCATGGCTAGGAATCTACTGTCCACATCTAAAATAGGTGCACTTTCCATTCAATTTATCCATTTCTTATTACACCCCTGTGGAAAAAGCCTTTCATATGGCCAGCAGTCCAGACAATGCATTTTGGGAAATACAGAACTCTTCCAATCCCCTTATTTTTTAGATAAGGAGATTGAAGCCCAGAGAAGGAAAGGGATTTGCCTGAGCTCACCCAAGAGGTCTGAGGCAGGGTAACAATAATTCAGCTGTAGCACTTTCAGAAGGGATGTCTCTAATCTGTTTTTCAGATTGGGAAGCCATTAGAGGGTTTCAGCAGTGGGGATAATGCAATTGAATTAGCATTTTAGGTAAATCGCTTCAGCTGATGTGTGGAGGAGACTCTAGAGGGATGACAGTGAGGAGACAATGAAGAGTAATCCAGGTGAGAGATAATAAAGACCTAAATTTGTGCAGTAGCAGGAGGGTAGATGAGGTAAAGATACATTCCAGAAATAATTAGGAGGTAAACCGGCAGGACCTGATGGCAGATTAGGTGGGGGAGTGGAAGGAGTTAAGGGTGATGCTGAGAAATCTGGTCTGGGTGACTGGGTAGATGCCAGTGCCATGCAGTGGAGAAGCTGTTTGGATGGAGCTAAGTAGGTTGAAGACTTCCATTTCAGTGGCTGTGGAATGACCAGTGTAGATATCGAAGTAGCATTTGGCTTTATGCGGGGAAGGTTTTGGTAAGAGACCAAGATCAGGGAGATAACTGCATATTGATGAAAGTTAAAGCACAAGAATGAGAGAAGTAGTCCAGGGAGAACCTGTAGAGGAAGTAGAAGCAATAGACCAAGGCTCAGAAACTCGGAGAACTCAGTTCTGGCCTCCAAGGAACTCACTATCTAAACCTTATTCTTCCTCCAGAGTTCCCCTCAAAGCACCTCCTCCAGGAAAGGAATGCTGCCCTAAGAGATGTACGAGGTGTTGGGTCAATTTGGAGGACAGAAAATTCATATGTGATGGCATAATTAAATGTCTTCTGTTAGCACACCGGATTTTTTTTTTTTCACTGCTTCAATGGTCGTTTTTTATTAAAAGAAAAACAATTCAAAATATATAAGAAATTAGACTTTTATCAATACACAAATAATTTTACTTAAAATCAACCCAGTTACATATTTTTTAAAAATTGCAGAACCTCTGCACACCAATGTCCACAACCTAGAATAGGTTCATGTGAAACCTGCAGTCCTACCCCGGAGCATCAATAAGTGATGGTCCAGGTACTCACTGACATGTTTCTCTTGACACCGAGATGGTTGCAAACAAAACACCATTCTTCCCTGGATGAAGCAAGAGTTCACATAAAAGAGCTTTATAAAATGTCTATGAAGGAGAATTGGTAATATCAGAAGAGCTCCAGCACTTTAATTGAATATAATCCTCTATTATTCTTTTCTTGATTTAATTTCTGTAGCTCCTGAAAACTTACTTCAATCTTGTTGAGCTCGGAATAAACAGATATCTGAGATTTTACAAGCTTGTAAAGATTTATCAGTAGCCTCTTTGCTTCTGGCATCATTACTATAACAGTAAAATTTGCATCCAGAAGTAGACATATCCAATCCATAATCTGGTTCTAGGTAGGTGGGTATATTCCAGGAAGAGTCATAGTAGCATTTTTGCTACACTTCAGGTAAAGGAAATACAAATACTTGAGAAACAGCGTGGTATGCTGTGCTGGGATGTTTTTCAAATGAGGCAGAAGAAATGTTTCGCTATATGCTGAATGAAGAATTGCATTAAGTAGAGCTGCTCCTTTTGGTATCACAGGGCATGAAGTGGTCTCCTTTGTTTTGTCCTGGGGCTTTTTATTTAACTCTCGATCACAGTTATTGCATTTATCTTCTTCAGGATTGAAGCCATTTTGAAGAATTTCAGTTTGCTCTTCCATTTTCTCATCATGTACAGAATTACTATAGTCAAAAACTGACTCCATACTGACATCTGTTTCTTGAAGACTGTCATCACCAATGCTCAAGAAAATTTTTAAGCAAGCACAGGTGACCAATTCAGGAATGTCAGGGAACTGCTGTAGACAGAGTTGTAACACCTGTACATCTTTCTTTTTTAAGGCAATCTCCATTAAGTCAGGGCACAAACTGTAAGAAAGCACATGCATTTGGATAAGCTGCATCAGACAGTTCCGGGGATAAAATGATCGTTCTGCTTTACACCTTTCCAGAAGTCCTGTTACTGTGTCCCCAATGACAGTATGAAAGTCAGGTGTCTGCTTCAGAGCCAAAAATTTCCATACTTCTACTTCAATGTGCTTTTCTGAATCTTTCATTATGGTTGACAAAAGTTGTTTGGATGGTGATACCTCTGGCTATAAACTCACTTCAATTTTTCATCTCCTTAAAATTCTTCTTAACTGCTCTGAGTTCTGGGACCCAAGTCCACATCCTTGAGGTGTTTCCCAGTTTACAAAAATGGGGCACAACATGAGTTCCTGGATCTTGACTATGCTTGAGTTTTCCAAGAGCATCTGCTAATGATGACACTTCACAGTTGTATGGAATCACAGCTAGAGATTTTCCATGTAGCATAAACAAATTTTCCCCATAATACCAGAGTTGACCACTGGTCCCTTGTGGTAACTCTTTTGAAGTCTGTAGTGTTTGAAATTTTATGTTCCATACAGAGAGGCATTCCTTAGAAGCTGCTAGTGGACTTCCTAGGACTGTGACGTGATCCTGATCCAGGGCAGTGAGTGCAACTCCATTTGGAGCATTACCAGACACAACAGCCTTGAGCAACAGTGATCTAACTAAGCTCTGATTTTTTTCTGGGTCAGTTGGACGTATTGGTATCAAGGTTTCATATATACAACCATCAGAGCTTAATGACATCAAAGAGATGAATTTTTGATCTACTGATGCAGTAAAACTCTCTATAAAAGAGTTTTTGTCTTGTCCAAGTAAGAGTGTATATTTGGTTAAGATATGTGAGTTAAACATTTGCACCTAAGCAATGTAATTTCCATGTTTTTCAGTAATAAACATTAAAACAGGAAGTCTGAATACTATGAAAAACTTTGTCCATTTAATCACTTCATGAGAGAAAACAGTTTCAATTTTCTGCTGGGGGTCTGCAAGCAAGGCCTCTAAACCATAAACAACACCTTCCTTGAAGAGCACCAAGGGTTCTGACCCTTGCACTGAAAGTATCCTATATACTTCAGCTGACAATGTAGCTTTAAATATTTTATCCCTGTTTACATCTTCATTATTCCATATTCTTAAAACTTTATTATCGTGTACAACAATATACTCTCCAGTTTGAAGGTTGCACACAACTGGACATGTTATAATTTGACCCTGTTTCACTGACCAGCTCCCCAAGGGTTTCTATTCAGAAACCTTATAGAGGATCACGATTCTGCCACTTTCTGTCACTAGAAACTGGTCTATTTTGTCACTCTGCTTCATGCCTAGGAGTCCTTCAGGTCCCGCACTCAGGACTACCAAAGACAATGTGAATTCTTCCTCCAGCGCTGCCATTTTGAGCAAACCTAGCACACCTGATTCTAAAGAGGTGCTGAGAAAACTTGTAGGAAGACGCAGTTTTCCTCAGATGGATGTGTATGTTTGTCCCTTTCACCTTGGAGTCTAGTTATGTGTACATGTCTTATCCCCTCAGTAGGCAGTGTACTTGCTCCTGAGAGAAAGGAGTCCTAAATTCTCAGAAGTCCCCATGGAACCTGAAGAGTACCTGGCATGTAGTACTCAATACAAATTTGCTGAACACATGAATGAGGGTAAAGGTGGGGAAGGATCTCAGGCCAAATAAATAGTATGAAAATATCCCACAAGTAGGGAACTACGGGAAATGCAGAATGATTGAGTGTGGCCCATGCATAGACTACATGAGTGATGGAGAAAGAGGAAACATAGGAGGCTGGCAAGATGGACTGGGACCAGGTGTTGTGGCCTTGAACACCAAACTGTAGGATCTGATTACCTTCAAGTGCTATAGAAAGCTGGACAGATGCTGTAACTGTGGTGGGTCTGAGCAGAGGTGAGCTGTCCCTCAGAGGCTCTTTTTTGCTTCCCTTACCTCCTGTCAGGGAAGCAGTGATGAGGGCTCTGTCAGCTCCTCCTGGCTTTCTCTTGCTGGATGCTGCCTGCAGTGCCCAAAAAAGTCACCATAAGCAAAGTTACTGTAATTTGTGGGAGCCAACCTCCCATTCCATTTCATTTTTTCAGTATCCAAGAGGAAAAGAGGTAGGTCTAAAGCCTGAGGTACCATGGACTCTCAGGAAAGCTATGAGAAGGGAGTCCACAACCCTGCCTCATTAGTTCATATACAAAGGTGTAAGTTTGTCACTTCACTTCCTCTTGTGGCTTCTGAATGCTGGGGCTCAAGTCAGATATTCTCAGCATTCATTGCCCTGGAGATGGTCTTTTTTAATATCACAGGCACCTGTGACCTTCCACTACTGCATGTCCAAATTCTCTCTAGTCTGAAAAATTTAGTGACAATGTTTCCTCTTGCAGGAAGCAGAGCCCTTCAGCTCAAAGTGACTGTTTCCTCAGAATGTCTGTATTACTGCAGCTGTAGTCCTCAACCTTACTGCCTGGATACACATTTTATATCCTGCCCTTTTCCCACACAAAAATAGTTCAGGTCCATAGTAGGGGGTATGATGGAATTATCTGGAGACAGGATGTTAGAGTGGACAGACCATGCACACTACAATCAGGCAAACCTAGATATCAACACCAGCTCTACCACTTCCTGGCTTCATTACCTTAGACAAGTTCCTTAACCCTCTAAGAGACTCAGTTTTCTTATCTGTATATGGCAGAATATAATAGGATGCTGACACAGTTGTTGAAACTATTAGATGAGAAAAAAGCAAAGCATCAGTAATAATACCTGGCAGGTTTTTGGCACTCAAAAATAATTCATTCCTCTCCTTTGCCTTCAATATTCTTCACAGGGCCTAGTATACAGTTTTCATTCATTGATCCAGCCAGTTATCAATTAAAACATTACTGGGGAAAGATAGTATGTACATTGACATAAAAATTAAATACTTAGGAATAAATCTAATGAAGAGATCTATTCAAATGGAAAGATTTACAATGTTCACGAATAGGAAGAGTCACTATCATAAAGATGTCAGGAGTTTCCACACTGATTTATTAATTCAATGCCATATCCTGAGAGTTGTGTGTGTATGTGTGCAACTTAACAAGCTGCTTCTAAAATATATATGTAAAAAGTCAAGAATAGTTAAAGTATCCTTGAAGGAAGAAAAAGGGGGGAAACTTGCTCTACTACGTATCAAGATTTATTATAAAGCTATAGTAATTATGACAGTGTAGTATTGTCTCAGAGACAGACAAATAGAACAAGGAAACAGAATGTAAAGTCCAGAGACAGATGTACACATACATTGAGACTTGATGTGTGACAAAGGAAATATTTAAGTATGGATTTTAGTTAATAACAATGTATTAATACTAGTTTATTGATTGTGAGAAATATGCCATACTTATGTAAGATGATAATAATAGGTAAAACTGGGTACAGGGTTTATTATAACTCCTTGTACTATCTTTACAACTTTTCCATAAATCTAAACCTATTCTAAAATACTTTTTAAAACTTATTTTAAAACAAGTAAAAAAATCAATTCCAAGAGGATTAAAGAAAACTAAATGTATAAGGCAAATTATAAGAAAGATTATATAAGAGAATGTATGAATAATTTGGGGGTAGGAAACACTTCCCTGCATAAGATTTTAAGAAAAGAATCACAAATGAAAAATAGACTTGACTACATTTAAATTAAAAATTTTTATTAATAATATAATATGATTAAGAAGGGGAAAAAAACAAGCTACAGATTCTACTTCCAGCAATAGACAAGTAAGCTCCTATCGACCCTATCCTACTACAGATTAAAACTATGAACTCTGGAGAAAAACAAAACAAAATATAAATACACTACTTGAAGGCAGTGTGGAGAGATCAAAAGCAGGCAGATAGTGGAGGGGGGTCAACACTTAGAAGAAGAAAATGGCACTGGGTCAGTTTCCCATTACTTTTCTGGTGTTCAGCTTGAGGACAGGACCCAGTCTGTACCATGCAGAGCAACTTAAACTGTGATGGAAAAGCTGTAGTCTTTCTGTATTGAAGAACTAGAGTACAGAGTTCATAGCAAACACAACTACTGAGAAGTAAGGAGGAAGTCCTCCAAAATGAGAAAGCCAGAAAGAAAGAGCTTCGAATCCTACGTATAAACTACATCCAACTCTCTGCTGACCCCAAACCATGCATGTGTGTGACAGACTCTAAGGAGAACACCTAAGACTAAAAAAACTGAATTGTTATTTAAGCTGTTACCCATTGCAGAAGAGAAATAACTTGCAATTTGAGTCCAGCCAGTCTAGTTGCCAGCTAACACAAACAAAACAAAACGAAACATAAGCAAAATCAATATAACAAAACAAAAATCAACACTCTTCAAACGAAAAGAGCAAAACCAGGGTCCCCACACATACGAAGAACCAGAAAAGCATGAGGAAAACTCAAGAGAAAAGGCAATCAACTAAAAGTAGCCCTAAAATGATTCAAATGTTGGAATTAGCAGACAAGGATTTTTAAAGCAGCTATTATAGATATGCTGAAGGGCATAAAGGAAAATATGCTTATAATGAATGAAAAGTCAGAAAATATCAGAAAAGAAATGTAAAAATTATAATAAAGAACCAAGTGGAAATTCTAGAGCTGAAACATATAATATCTGAATTAAAAATTCACTGGATAGGCTTGACAACAAAATAGAAATGACAGAAGAGTCAGAAAACATGAAGATCAATAGAAATTATCCATTCTGAAGAACAAAGAAGAAAAAATGAAGAGAAAATAGCAGAGGCTCAGGAACCTATAGAACATTATAAAAATATCTAAAACATATGTAGTCAGAGTCACAGAAGGAAAAGAGAGAAAATAAACTAGAAAAATTGTATTTGAAAAAAATGACAGAAGTAAATTCTCCCAATTTGATGAAAGACATAAACTCACAGATTTAAAGAAATTCAGCGAGTCCCAAGTAAAATGAATACAAAGTAAATCACAGCTAGACACATCACAGACAAACTACTAAAAAACAAAGATAATGTCTTAAAGAAGCTAGAGGAAAGTAAGATTCAGAGGAACCACAATTCAAATAACTGCTTATGACATATGACATACAATGAGGGTCCAAAGACCATGGACCAACATCTTTAAAGCACTGAAAGAAAACTGTCAAGAATTATATATCTAGCAAAAACCAAGAATAAAGGTTAAATGAAGGCATTTTACATAAAAGATAACCCAGAGAATTAATAGCCATCAGATGTGCATTACAAAAAATGTTGAACAAAGTTCTTCAGGCTGAAGGGAAGTGATACCAGATGGAAGTTTGGATCTACAGGAAGAAATGAAGAGCATTGGAAATGGGTAGATAAAAAACACTACTTTTCTTCTTAATCTATGTAAAATACATATTACTGTTCAAAGTGAAAATTGTAGCATCATATGGTGGAATGTAAAATGTCAGTAAGTTGTAATACATAAACATAATACATAAAGCATAAAATTGGGAGGAATATAGTTGCAAGGTTTCCACAATTGACATGAAGGGGTACAATATTATCTCTAAGTAAATTGTGGCAAGTTATTAATATACATTGTAATCCCTAGAACAACACTAAAAATGATGCAAAGAGGTACAGCTAAAATCAAATAAATATAATAAAAATCTACAGTACATTCAAATAATCCAAGAGAAGGCAGAAAAAGAGGAATATGGGAAAAACAGAGGGGGAAAACAGAAAACAACTAGTGAATAAAGATTTAAATCTGAAATATCAATAATTATGTTACATGTTAATAAACATGGACCACATTTGAATTAAAAGGCAGAATGTCAGAATGGAGAAAAAGAGCAAGACACTATCATGTGCTTTCTAGGAGATATGTATTTTAATATAAAAATAGAGATTGGCTAAAAACAAATGGATGGAGAAGGGCACATAGTATGTAAACAGTAGTACAAGAAGGCTTCTGTGGCTATCTGATATTAAATCAGGTAAAGTAGACTTCAAGTAAGAATGTTACTAAAGGTAAAGAGAAGCATTTCAGAATGAATACAGAATTACTTCATCAGGAAGAGGCAGTATTCATAAATGTGTATGTGGTATAATAACATAACTTCAAAA